TACAAGAGGATGAGGCTGGCACCTCCCTGAAGAACTCACCCTGTTGGGGCTGGCTGTCTTGGGTGATGGGGTTTCAGGCTGGGAAGATTCTTGCTAGAGGTTGTAGCTAATAAACATAGCTGAATGGAATTTTCATTGTCTCTAGGAGTTCCTTGGGCTAGGCCTGACACCTGCAGCGCGTCTTCTCTGCCAGACCTGATGGGACAGGCCGATGTAATCGGGGAGAGGCAGTCCCTCAAATAACCCGGCCCCTGCCATGAAGGGTTGTAAAGGTTAAAACCAGCACCTTGAATTGGAACCAGAAGGAAATGCAACCAATGGAGCAGAGGGTCTTGGGGCACACATAACTGCCCGCACCGCTGCCTTTTGCACCAGCTGAAGCTTCCAGATACTCTTCAAGGGCAGCCCCATGTAGAGTGCATTACAGAAGTCCAAGCGGGAGGTGACTAGGACAGGAGTGACAGTGAGCAGAGCCCCCCAATCCAGGGAGGGGTGCAACCGGCGCACCACACAAAGCCGTGTAATCTTTCCAAATTGGTGCGTGGGGGGAAGTCGCTTTTGCTGAAGCATAACACACTGGGGTTGTGGAATAGCATGACAACTTTTGAAAAAAAGATCGCAGCAGATCACTGCTTTGGGACACACCAGCTGGGAATCATGGCCTTTTGCACTCAAATGGAAAGATGCTGAGGAGCTGGAAGGAGCAGGGAAGAGCAACCAAGATGGTGAGGGGCTTGGAGGCTAAATCCTAGGAAGAATGGGTAAAGCAGTGCTTCCCAAACCTGAGTAAATTACACAAAATTGGGCAAAAGTGGTTCTTCTTTGGGTCATGACACACGAACCCATTACTCATCACAACAGGGACATTTAAATGGCCTTAAGTAAAAAGGACTTTCAGATAAGTGGTTTGGGGTAATGAAGGAACAAGTTTGGGAAGCCCTGGGACAGAGGAACTGGGTGTGTGAAGAAGAGAAGGAGAGACATGATTGCAGTCTTCCAAGTCTTGAAGGGCTCTCCAGGGAAGAGGCTGTGGATTTATTCTGCATTGCTTTGGAAGGTAGGACAAGAACCAGTGGGAAGGAACTGTACGGAGAGGATCCGAACTTGAAATAAGGAGGAATCTCATGATCTTGATAGCTGTGAAGTAGTGGCCCTCCTGGACTTGTGAGGGCTCATGGGAGGGATTCAAGCAATGGTTGGACAGCCATTGGTCTGAGATGGTCTGAGGATTCCTCTTCCGGGCAAAGTTGGACTAGAAGACCTTCAAGGTCTTCAAGGGTAGGACAAGAACCAAAAGGTGGAAGCTTTACAGAGGGAGGTCCAAACTCAAAATATGGAAGAATATCCTGAGGGGAACGTGATGAAGCAGCAGAGCCATGGACCAGCCTGCCTCCTGGAGTCATGGAGGCTCCATCATTGGAGGGTTTCAAGCAAAGTTTGGATAGGGTTTGTCTGGGATGACCTGAGGATTCTTGCCCTGGGCAGGGGGTGGACTAGAAGACCCCCAAGTCCCTTCCAAGCCTAAGATCCTAGGAAATGCAGACAAAAAGCATTTGTCTTCCATTCCTATGGAAGGGAATTCTTATGGAAGATGAAGGACATTCCTACTTCCCTTGGCTGTTCATCATCCCAGGCTAATATAAAGTATTGTCCCACTTCCTCATCCTGAGAAACTTACCTGCTTGGTTGCAGTTGCAGGGCTGACAGGCCATCTGAACCTCCCAACGATAAAAATTGGGCCGACAATGTTCACAGTGTGGTCCAGCGGTGTGATCCCGGCAATTCACGCAATGGCCACCGTGCCCGGTGCGCCGGTACAGTTCCCAGTCATAATAGCATTCCTCCGATCGACCGCTGCAGTTGCATGCTGGATAGAGACAAACCACCGAAGAGGAAGAGCATCATGGATAGTCTTCTGAAGCTGAGCCTCCTTGTCTAACTCTAGGTTGTAAGCCCCTTGAGGGCAGGGACCTATCCTGTTTCTTTTCTTTGGAGATACAAACCTGGAAAAAGCCAGGTGCTCTGACTTAAAAAGAATGACAAGTGTGAAGAAATGAAATAATGGTGCCTTGATGGATCTTCTGGCTGGCTTTCAACCACCTGCAGAACCTCACCAGCCAAACCCCATTGTGATCCAACAGGGACGCACAACATTGCTAAATTTTGTGCGCCCGCTGATACAACTGGGTGGGAAGGGGCAGCTCGTAAGAGTTAAGCGGACCTGACAAAATGGCCCCGGGTGACTTACGAAGGCATTCGTTGGCCGACTCCGTCGTGCCCCGAGCCCAGGGGCGGTCCTGATAGAACGGCTGGCACGAGTCGCAGTCCACGCCGGTTGTATTGTGTTGGCAAAGGCAAACCAGCTGGTCGTCTTCGTTAGGGATGCATTCGCTGGCATGGCCATTGCACTTGCATCTGGTAGAGACGCAAGATTAATCTCTTTTAGATTTGGGGCTCCTGTCAGGTTCACCCCAAAGAACTCCACGAGACAATGCAAATACAGTTCTGTTGCATTTATTAGCTTCAACCTCAAGACAGAAATCTCCCCGGCCAGACCCAAAGCCCCCACGCCAGCCAGCCACAACACCGTGAATTCCTTAGGGAGGTGCCAGCCTCATCTTCTTGAACTTCCCACGCTCCTGTTGGGGGCTAAGAACACGCTTCTCTCCCTGAGCCTGGCCTTCATAAGTCCATTCCATCACACTCCCCCTAACCAGGTGAACTGCCTTCTGCTGGGTTTGACCTATGCAGGAGAGCCACCTCCGTTGCAGAAAGCTTTGGGGAAGGAAGCTACGGTTACAATGGCTGGACCCCACCCCTGGATTAGGTCTCCCCATCCTCCTCCAACACTTTAACCAATGGGTTAGCCTTCTTCAACACTCCTACTCCAGCCCTATTCCAAGCTACTTACTCAGACACTACTCCAACCTATTCCTTCTCATCTAGCACTCTAACCTACTCTAGCAGTCCTACTCCAACACCATTTAAACCTACTCCAGCTCCTACTCCAACCCCTACTCCAGTTCTACTCCAACTTATTCCTTCTCTAACACTACTCCAACCTACTTTTATTCCAACCTACTCCAAGCTATTCCTACTCCAGCCTATTCTGGTCTACTTTAGCATTCTGCTTCAACACTATTCCAACCTACTCTACTCCTACTCTACCAATTTATTCCTATACATTAACCATTGTTCTCCTCCAACTGGGTATAACTTCTTTCCTTTTACCACTGGGCATAATTTCTATGTATCAGCCCTTTGAGGTAGTCCATACAAGAAGCACCAACCATGAGTCCTAACACTACCTTTATTGTAAGGTTCCAGTAACAGAATCTGGCCAGTCTGAAAGCATTTCTCCCCTCCTTTCCTTTTATTCTCCCGAAAACTAGGGAGGGTCCCTTCTGAGATGCTTCCCATGCCCTTTTCCTTCTGAGGGCTGAGACACCCTTTCCACGCCCATTGTCCAGTTTGCGGCTCTTCCTCCTGTTTCCCAAGGTCATTCCCGCATACCATTACACCACGGATTACACCACACCATAACCATTGTCCCACTGGGCATAATCACTACACCTCTGAGTAGAACAACTAGAAAATTCCATCTCGCTCTAGCCACTGGGGAGAGCTGTTAAACCCCAGCCTGCTTACTACACACCCAACATTTACAGCACCCCCATTGTCTCTTCTTTTCAAATCCCTCCCTTTGGGAGAAACAGTCAGGAAGCTAGAGTACTCCCTATCAGCAACATTTGAGAGCAGCAACACAAATCAAGTTGCATGGCCGTTCTTAGCTGGCTTCTCTTTGCAGAGCATCGCCGTGACCCCTACGTCTAGGCTCCAAGAACGATGGGTTGATAACCTTTTCAGCCAATTAAAAAGTTCCAGCTGTCTGGGATGAGCGAGAAATGAAACCAGGGTGGTCCTGGTTGGGATTCTGTAAGAAATCCATTTCCTTTTACTGCAGGATCCTGTTTAAGGGCTCTGGCTAAGCGGCGAGCAGTGAAAATTAGCAAAGAAGAGCCCAAAGGAAGAATTTTTTCAGGACAGACCCCTGGGGAATATCCTCCTGTCCTTTCTTCTCTGCACCCAGGGAAAACATCCATCATATTTAATTTGCAAGGTGTAGCCCACTTCATTTAAGAACCTCATGGCGTGCCAAACCATCAAGACCACCTAAGAGTCTAAAGAAAATATATGTTCTCTCTTTCCAAGCAGAGCAAACGCGAAATATATTTAAGGAAGGTCTGTCAGGGGAAGGAAGGGGGCCTCGCCATGAAAAATGGTCACCGTTTAATCAATTTTATGAATGGAAAAGACGGTTGGGCTTGTCCCCACTGCAATTTGTTCAACCTGAAGGGGATAAAGAATGGGATGTGACAAAGGTTTAGCGGGAAAATAAATGAACTGAGTGAAAAAGAACTAGCTAGAGTTTGTGCTATTTCAAAGTGCTGAATGTCTCCTCTAACCAATCCTTCTTCGTTTGCCTGAACGCGGGTGATTTTTAACGGTATTTCAGGTGTACATTAATTGTACGCCATAGTACTTTAATCACATTTTAATGCCTTACTTCCAAATCAAATATATGGACAGAATGTCTTCCTTGTATCTCACTGTGAGTTTATGAGCATCTTTGCAGGCATGTTATATTGAACATTTTTGCTTAAATGTGCTTTAACCGTGCCTTTGTGGATTATTATCCTTCGATGTGCATGCTGTGTGAAATTTCTATATCTGAAATGAGAGACATAATCTTTACGCCGTTGTTAGAAGACATCATTTACTTTTCTTAAGCTGGGCTAGGAACTACTGAATTTCTGGTTGGACGTGGACGACAAACATTCGACAGCAGGTTTAAGAAAAGTGTAACTGCTAAAAACCAGGAGAAATCCTCCTCAACCTAAATGAGAAAAAGATAATATAGAAAATTCCCTCCCTGTTTATCTGACCTCTGTCCTAACCACAGAAGCTTCACCGAGAAAATCACTGTATCAAAAGATTGTCCACCTGCAATTAAAAGAAAAAGATAATAATTCTAGATGATACATCATTGTGATTTAAATTCACCAGTTTTGAAGTCCAAGGCACCAGATAGCTGAATGAGTTGGAAATGCACAGGATGCTGATATATTATTACAGGAAGCGAGTTTTGGATGGAGAAATCCCTTTGTTTCCACTGTGGGTCACTTATCAATAAATTTACTTGTACGTTGGCTCCAGCCATTATCTGATAGTTTGGTCTTGTTTTTTTAAAGCTGATAGAAACATTGATGTGAACTTAATTTTTATCTGTTCGGAAACAGCTTTCTACACAGTCCCTGGGTGTTCTGCAGCCTTTTCAATCTCTTAGCTGGCTGGCTGGAAACAGCAAACTGGTTGAAATTTGGCCTTGATTTTGCTGGGTGCTTGGTGCTCTAAACTAGTCCATTTAAGCTTGTGACATTGCCCATTTCCAAACCAAGAAATCATTGCTCCTTTCTGATCTGCTTTGGTCAGACCAAATAGAAATTTGCATCCAATTCTGGCATTGTACTTCAGAAAGGACATCAACAAACTGGGATTTCTCCAGAGGAGAACCACCAAGATGATAAGGATTCTGGAAGGGAAAACAGAGATGGCATTGGGCATCTTTCTCCTGGAGAAGACTGTGGGGAGACGCGATTGCCATCTTCAGGTTTGAAGGGCTGTCATATAGAAGATGGAGCAGAATTGCTCAGAGTCATTCCGGGAGACAGGATGAAGAGCAAAGAAAAAGAGTTGGACATCAAGAAAGAATTCCTAAGGGTAATTCCTGTTCCAGGGTGGAGTAGATACTTTGAAAAGTGGTGGCCTCTTCTTCATTGGAGGTGTTTAGATAGAACCTGGATTACCACCTGTTGGGATGCTGTATTCATGGATTGTTACTAGATGTTAAGGTAGATGGTCCTACAAGGTTCCTTCCCACATTTATAGTCTATGACTTAAGTCTAATGGACAAACAACACACGGTCCACAGTAGTACAATAGAGTTGACACTGTCAGCAAGTTGGGTGGGGAACTGTTTCAGCAAATGCTAGAATTTGTACGGTCTGTGGTCTGTGCACATCTTTTTTAAAGCACTGTGTTTGCCATGGGACCTAAATCAGAGAAATACTCCTACCAGAAAGTCAAGTTGTGATTCACCCATTGATTCAGAGGAGCGACATTCTGCCATGTCTTCATCGTGACCTCAAGAGAGGTCCCACTTATCCCTTCTCTCAATATCTAAGATGGTCAAACCAGATCCTGACAAAGCAGTGTGCTTTCTTGCTCTTCACAAGATACTCCAAAGTGAGGGATAGGAAGGGAAATGAGTTTGGACCCCTGATGCATTTAGATTGGGGAAGGGTTAACTTCTAGGCCCAAACTACAACTGGTGAAAGAAAAATAACAGGAAACAAAATTTCATCCACGCTCTTTGTCCAGGGATAAGAGTTATCTCATTCCACCCCCCAAATTACTCAGAGGCTTCCTCTTGTAAGCTTTCCATCTTACCTCCCCCCGACGGAGAAATCTGAGATGGCGTAGTAGTAAGACTGAAGCACTTTCGGATCTTTAAAGATGTCATCCCCGAAGGTGTTAAGGCGGTCCAAAGAAATCAGCAGATCAGTACACGTCACCCATTCCTGCGGAGTAATAAAGATATTGGAGGCAATGTGCAAAGACAGTTGAGGAGCACCAAGTAGATTTTTTTCCATGTCTACCATCCAAGATCCTTTAAACTGGAGATGCCCATGGTTGAATTTTGAATTCCCTGTGTCTTCTTTGGTCTTTCCCAGATCAGTTTGGAAAGACAGAAGAGTTCTGGAGGCCTCTAGAGAGATCCATCTTACACCGTACCCCTCCCTTGGGATTTAATGGAAGGTGGGAATCCAGAAGAGCTGTGAGGCTCTGGAGAAATGGCTCTAAAATAAAACAGTCCATCTGTGTTGCCTGGTAGGGCCCCAGGCAAGATCATTTTAATTTTTCCAGACCTTCTACTAATAACATGTCAATGTATTTATGTTGTGACCTTCTTTATTTTGAATGCTTTTACCCTGCTACTGTCCGATTGCTAATTGCATTGCTCTTTGGTTTCAGGGACTTATCTGACTTTTCAGCGGATGCTTCAACCGACAGTTTTAAATTTTGGGGTTCTATTGAGAATTCATCAAGGTCTTTGAATGGGGAGTGGTCTACCAAGGTTTTCCATGTTCAGAGATATTAGTAAGTGTAATGGGGTGTGAGAATGACCTTGGGAGACAGGAGGAAGAGCCGCAGCCTACACAACAGTCTGAAAAATGAAATCTGAGTCTGAAGGAATGGTGGGGGTGGAGAAGGCATCTCAGAAAGGACTTTCTCTTACTTATACTCTCCTGAAAACTGGGTGGGGTGGGGTGGTCCCTTCTGAGATGCTTTCTCCAACTCAGATTTGGTTTATCAGACCATTGTCTAGGCTGCGGCTCTTCCTCCTGTCTGCCAAGGTCATTCCCACATATCATTACAGAAATTCTTTGGACCAGAATCTCCTCCTCTGTTTACAAACATCTCCCAGAATTTCTTCTCTCCTTCGCTTCAGAAATCCCTTTCCATCCAATGCAATGAGAGTTGAGAGGAAGCAAAAAGGAGGAAGAATTCTGCTACGGTTCTTCTACCTATCTAGTTTTTAATACCTGGAGAAGGGGACTCTGGTCAAAACTGTAAGCGCTCGGCCGGCCTTCTAGGGTGGAGAAAGCCACGTTTCCACCGCTCAGAGGGGAGATGTCACTGAACTCATCGGTGCAGAAGGCTACTTGCTCATGTTCTCCAGATCTCAAAAATTGCCGTTCCGGCTTTCCGTAGGTCTTCCTGCAAGAGGCGCTGTAGAACTGATACGGACTCCACGGACCCTCAGCCCAGTTACGCTTGTAAATGGCAAAACTCTCGGGGCGGCTGGTGTGGAATTTCAACCTCACGTAGGTGATTTCGTAAGACTTCCCTGAAAAAGGAGAATCCTTAATTAAACCCCACGAAGTCAGCCATTCAGGGTAGAATGACAGCCATTCCCCCTTCCTTCCTTCCAAGTTGTTTGGTTAATTGTGCAAATCCTCGCTGGTACAAACTTTGAACAAATTTGGCAGCCTGGAGAGGTTTCGGTCAGGGAACTCGGCAATTGAGAGCTTTCACTCCCCAAATCCTGGATATAAAGTTTTATAGTCTACACAATTTATTAGGGAAAGTTCTCCTCTTGGGTGTTCATCCCTATTAAATTACTCAGTCCTGCTTTCTTTATTCCGGGATTGTTAGGGTTGCTCTGTCTCTACTCAGAAGTAAAGCCTTTCTGATGCAGAGAGACTCATAAATATGGATGGAGTTGCTGTCTGACGGGGGCTTTGTTATTCTGATGTTTGATTCAGTCCTCCAAGTTGTTTTCTCAAGGTAATGGCAATTCTGTATTGATACTTGGTTTGCTGATGTATTTTTAATTTGAGAACTATCTCAAATCATCTCTTCCTTCAGTTAGAGAAACAGCACTCATCAATGTCTACCACAGCTGCTCTCCTTGGCTCCGACACTTTTCTGATGTGCTGGAATGTCAGCTCCCAGAATTCCTAGCAAGCATGCTGCCAAAGAATTCTGGGAGGTCAAGAGCTTGAACGTCAGCTCCCAGAATTCCCAGTGACCAAGTTGCCAAAGAATTCTGGGAGGTCAAGAGCTCGAACGTCAGCTCCCAGAATTCCCAGTGACCAAGTTGCCAAAGAATTCTGGGAGGTCAAGAGCTCGAACGTCAGCTCCCAGAATTCCCAGTGACCAAGCTGCCAAAGAAATCTGGGAGGGCAAGAGC